ATGAGAGAAAGAGCTCTGAATTGATTAGTGATGGCTGCCATGCATTGACCATTCCGAAAGTGGAAACTGACATCCAGTGAGTGAACATGCTGTATCCACAGTTCCGTTCCTGCCTATGATCACCCTAATGGGCTGAGACTTTTTCTAACTCAGCATAACCAGACCACCTAAGGTGATGCAAGATTTGAGATACAAACCCCCCTGAACTCCAGCACCAAGCACTATCATAACATTGGTGAATAACGATCATAATAACAAGAAGAAAAATCAGCTACCCAAGGTCACACCGTGAAACTAATGGCAAAACCAAGAAATACATAGATGGGGCTAGTGGCCCTTCAGGTCCTGTCTGGCACTGAAATTGAGGGTCTTAGGCACCTCTCCTTCCCCCAGCTCTGTACTAACAACACGGGAGCTGAGCCATGCAGAGTCCTCTCCCCACAACCTCTTGAGCCTCCCCTGGCCTGCTATCCTTGGTTCCGCCCTCTGCCCTCCTATCAAAAAGCCCCTTTTTTTGTTATCATTGATTTTGTTCTCAGGATAGATGCCCCTGAAGAAAGTGTTCTACGGTTTGCAAAGAGCCTTCTTCAGATTGTCAAGGGAGGGTCGTGAGAATCCTGCCTCTTTGGTGGGCCTGCTATTGCCTTTCAGATGGGTCATGCTTTGGTACCCATAGCCCAGTAGTCCTCAACAGGGAATTGGTGGGTGACCTGGCTTCATGCGGAACACATGGCAGTGTCTGGAAACATTTTGGGTTGTCACAGCTGGAGAGGGAGTGCTACGGGCATGCAGTAGGAAGATGCCAGGGCTGCTGCTGGGCATCCATGGTGTAAGGGACAGCGCCCCAACAGACACGTATCTGGCCCCAAATGTTTACAGTGCCGCGGCTGAGAAATACTGTCATGGGGAGGGGGCCCCCCAAAAGAGTCCCAGCTACCTTACTTCCCTGTTCCATGACCTTTCCTCATTCCCCACGTTGGAGGGCAGCGTGAGTGCCTCTGAAATCCTACAGCTGTTAGCCGACCGCTGTCCTGGACATGTGTCATGTCCTGGGTGACCTTGTAAGACTCCTTCAGTGTCTCCCTCAAAGCCCCTGCGCCCTCGAGGCCCACACTTTACCACTTCCTCTCTGAGATGCCTGTGGAAGCTGCTTGCCTGCTTCATCTGCTAATGACCCACCTAGCAAAGGAGACGGGGGAGGAAGCTGACGAGTCTTTGAGTGGGGACGTTATTGATGCGTTTGCTCAGTGTCATTTTCTCTCCTCAGATGTGATTCTCGAGTGCCTGGGCTTCAAATGGGAACTCCATCAGCCCCAGCTTTTCCAGTCTCAGACCTTGGCCAAGCTCTACTTGGAAGCCCTGACACAGGGCAGCACATCCCCCCTAAAGGAGCTGGAGAAGCTTCTGCAAGGTATTTCCTCCCCGGCGCCCAGTGCTGGAGCCCCGGTGCCCTCTATCTTGAGAGTCCCCAGGTGGAAACATGGTTATCTGTTTTGAGACCACAGTCACTGTAGCAGTCAAGAGCAAGGCTCCTTATCTCATCCTGTGACAGCCTCAGTTTCCTCAACTGTAAAATGGGGATAATAGTCCTTAGGATGCAGCTTTGAAGAGTAGAGGGGGTATTAGGTGTGACGTTCTAGAACAAGGCCTGGCACACAGCAAGCACTCAGTACATGCCACTTACTATCCTTGTAATAACCCGAGTCTCATCTGGCCAGCCCAGGCATAGAGGCTCTACCTGCTACTTTGAGAAGAAAAACGCGCCAGGCACAGTGGCTCACACCTGTAATCCCAGCGCTTTGGGAGGCTCAGGTGGGTGGATCACCTAAGGTCAGGAGTTTGAGACCAGCCTGACCAATATGATGAAACCCTGTCTCTACTAAAAA